TCCATTTTGCTTAATATATAGTATAGATAGATAGATAGATAGATAGATACAGATATTTGTATTTGTTTTAGATATTTTTTTAATATACAAGCTATTTTTTTAGATTTTTTATAAAAATAATTTAACAATAACATCATTAATCATATTGTATGGGGGAAGTTGAAAAGGATGCTGCAATAATTATGAGAAAAGTCAAAAAGATTTGTGGGTTGGGAGAAGTCAATAAATGCTAAGGTTATTTATTTTTTTAAATCAAAAAATTAGAAAATTAGGATTGGGATATTGAAGTTCCCACAAAGCTTGTGGGTTAGAAACCTCTTCCTTATATAATATACTAACATGACACCCGTGCTATGCACGAGATAAAATAATATATTATTTATTAAAAATACAATAATTATATTTAATTTTTTATATTTTTACTCTTGTAAATAAAATTTTGTATATAAGTTTAAGAGTTTTTTTCAAATGTTTCTTTACTGTAATATTTACTCATAAACATAGATTGAAATTGTTGTATTGACAATTAACAATTAAAATTATGCTTTGTTCTAAAAAAAAATGACATAGTTCTAATACTTCAATATTTTAGAATAAAAATATATGAATTTTAAAAAATTGTTATATTGGTTTTTGAAAGGAAATAATTAAAGAAATTTTAAAAACTTAATGAATAAGAAAGAATAATTGTAACATGTAATTTAAAATATCAAAAAAAAAAATGAATAAAGACTTTAAAAAGATGTGATTACAATTAAAACTAATGTCATGTTTATTTATACGTATAATTTTATTTGGATATTATTTATATTTTAACATGCTTATTGAAAACAAAAATAAATAAAAATATCAATAATTTTGAGTTTTAAACTATGATTCTCTAGACTTGCTATATTAACTTTTGGAAGGAATATATTGGAATTTTTTTACAAAAATTGAATTTTAGTCATTGAACAAATCTTATAAGATTTATAAAAAAAAATTTATAACAGGAAGAAATTAATGATATTGCAACATATGCATTTTAACAATTTTAAATTTTGAAAAAAAATAGATTAGAACTTTGAACATCAATTATTGTACAACATTTTTATTTATATAATGATATAAATAAGGATAGGTAACAGATAGATAAAAATTAATTATAAATATAGCTATATTTAAAAGGATATAGTTTTGTATAGTTATATTTTAAATTCTAAAATTTATTTTTTAACTTCCTATATAAAAAGATTCAAAATTTTAAATTACATATGATTTTTTTCTAAAAACATATGAACTCACAGTGGAGTAGAGAGAGAAGTACTATAAAGGAATAGAGCAGCTGTACATATTGAAGATAAATAATTAAATAATTGACTAACACCTTTAATAGTTTTGAAAAAATTGATTAAAATTAAAATTTTCTATTTATAACTTTGAAAAACTATTATATGCTTTTGAAATAATTCTCTGCATCAACTGTTAATTAACACATATCATGATATTAAAAAAATATTAAAAGTAAATTTTTTTTTAAAAAAAATGTAATGATATACAAACATAAAATTAACACAAAAAACTTATTAATAAAGATTTTGTTTGGATTTTATCTATCACTTTAGTGAGTGACATGTTTTTTTATTATACAAATGATCCTATCACGTCATTTTAGTATAAAAATTCTAGGAAAACAATATTAACCAACAAAAAATAGTTATAAACAAAAAACTGATAATGGTTGGTAGAGAGGAGAAAGAAATGACACACAAAATATGAAATATAAAAATAAAAAAATAGTCATAAATAAAAAAGAAGAAGAAAAAATGGTGTACCTAAAAGATAAAGGGTACTTACGTGTAGCTCCTAATAAGTAGATTATTGTCTAATAGGTCCCATGGAAAAAAACAATTCATAAAAAAAGTCACTAATTGTAAGTTTTAGCGACAATTTATAAAAATCATGACAAAAAAAGTCACTAATTGTCAATGTTTAGCGACATGTATAAAAAATTGTCAAAAAAAAATTATTTTGGCGATAATTTTACCAAGACTTTTTTTCAATAGGACTTGATGGGAATTAAATCTAACTATTATAACCTATTGGTAGTTTACCCAAAGATAAAAGAGTCTGTTTAAAAAATAGAACAGATTAAACATAAACTAACCTCCAATTTGTCTCATAAAAATAAAGTTAAAAAACAATGGATTTCATTGTTCCATGAATATAATATTTATAGGACGAGCAAGACATGAATGATTTGGAAAAAGTATAATGGATTCGTTTGGAAAGTGGGTTGATTTTTTGACTTTTGACTTTTTGGCTATTTTAGTCTGGGGCTAAAAAAACCTTGTTTGGGAATGACTTTTTGGCTTTTTTGACTTTTTGTGAGAGAAAGAATTTAATGATTATGGGTTAGATATGATATTTTGTCTTATTGAGCTAAAAAGCCTATTTTATTTTTTTGTGGCTAAAATAGCCCCCAAACCCAGCCCAGCCCAACCCAACCCAACTCTTCTTCCCAAACAGGGGCAATGTATGATAATTAAGATTTTTGGATAGAAGAAAGAATTGGTTAGAGAAAAAGTGCATAAAAATAATTTTTTTATCTTTTCTTTTCTAAATTATAAATCATGAAATCATTATAAAAAATAATAAATTATGAGATTTTTCTAAAAAATTATATATAGTATAAATATGCTTAAATTTGTTTGGGAATAAAATTATGTTAAATTATAGAATAGAAAGAGAATCTAGTTATAAGGTTTAATTTTTATTTTATGTTAGGCTTAATTTTAAGTTTATATAGATTAGACCAGTAGTGAAATATTTTAATAGTATACATTTTATGTGAGATGAGAGAATTTTCTTTTCGTTAAATTTATTTTAGGAGAGAGAAGATTGTATGAGATTTATATTCTTTTTAGAAAATTAGATTTAAAGTTTTGAAACACTTAGGGCCTCTAAGATGAAAAGTTACTTTGGTATAATATATAGCATAGATAGATTATGAGATTTAGGAAAGAAATAAATATTAAGGAGAGAGATTTTAAAAACTTGTAATTCAATTTTTTATTTTTTAAATCTATAGTTATTTTGTCAGCCAATAGTATTATTTTTAAATATTTTTAAAATTACGAAAATTAGCAATTTTGGTGTTTGGCAAGTGGTTTTGGGGCTAAAATAGTCACAAAAAACAAAATAGACTATTTTAACCATGGCAAACAAAACATCACATCCAATCTATAATCATTACACTCTTTTCTCACAAAAATAGTCAAAAAAGTCAAAAAGTCCTTCCCAAACCAAGCTTTTTAGCCCAGGCTAAAATAGCCCAAAAAGCCAAAAAGCCAACCCACTTTTCAAACGGAGGCTTAGGCCTCGTTTGGAGAGTGGCTATTTTAGCCAAAAAGTCAAAAAGTCAACTAAAACTAGTTACATCACCTCTCTACTTTTCTGCACATCTTTTCGTAAAAAGCTAAAAAGTTACTAAAATAACCTGTTCCCAAATGAAGTTTTGTTTTAATCTATAGTTAGTTTGTTAGCCAATAGTATTATTTTTAAATATTTTTAAAATTACAAAAATTAGCAATTGTGGTTTTACGTTCTTTTTAATCTATAATGTTTTTTTTTTAAATATATAATTACTTTGTTATGAGATGAGAAGAGTTATTTGGGGCCTTTTTGGCTATTATAACTACAAAAAATAAAATAGGCTATTTTAGCCACAAAAAACAAAACATCACATCCAACCCATAATCATTACACTCTTCTCTCACAAAAAAAGTCAAAAAAGTCAAAAACCCAAAAAGTCGTTCCCAAACCAAGATTTTTAGCCCAGGCTAAAATAGCCAAAAAATTCAAAAAACCAAAAAGCCAACTCACTTCCCAAACGACACTGAGATGGGATTTAGGAAAGAGAAAAACATTGGGGGGAGAGACTTTAGAAACTTGTAATTCAAATTTTTAGGTGATTTTTTATTTTATTTTTTTAAATCTATAATTACTTTGTTAGCCAATAGAATTATTTTTAAATATTTTTAAAATCACAAAAATTAACAATTGTGAAATGAGAGTTTGAAACTCTCACAAGTCTTCTCCTTATATAATATATAGACAGATATTTATATTTATATATATTTTAAATATTTTTTAATATACAAATGATAATTTTTAAATTTTTTATAAAATAATTTAATAATCTCATCACTAACTATAGTGTATAAGAGAAGTTGAAAATAGTGCTGCAATAACTATGAGAGAAGTAAAAAGACTTATGAATTGGGAGAAGTCAATAAATGTTGAGATTATTAATTTTTTTAAATTAAAAAATTAATATTAAAATATTAAAACTTTCACAAGACTTATTAATTAAAATAGATATAGATTTTCTTTTTCCACAACCATTGCCAATCCTCCTCTTTACCATCATAATCCGAAGCTAGCTCAAAGGCACTGGATGTGGAAAAAGTTGCATCGGAAGCCCCTTTCCAGAGCAAAAGATCTAGGTCGGAGAGAAACTGCCCTTTCGAAAAACACAACGTTGTGCCCCCATTGTGTTCAAAATTATGAAGACTTTGAGGAAACCAACAATAACTTTTGGCACAAAAAAGGGGCAGGTATCTCATTTTTTGCAGCGACAGATTCAAATTGGCTCAACTTATCTAATTCATGCAGGAAAAAAAATGGAGGATGAAGAAGGGATCTCTTTTTTGCAATGAAAAAACAAAACAGAACAGATTTGACTTTGGCTCAACTTATCTAATCCATGCATAATATCATGAAAAATGGAGAAAGGGGGTAGGGATCGCTTTTTTGCAACAAAAAATAAAAAATTTAAACAGAACAGAGGCAAGTCATAAATGTGTTATCCGAACAGGTCGTGATGCAAATGCAGATTACAGAAATAAGCCCCTATAATGGAACGTTTTACTTGTCACATAGAAGAGAAATAATAGCCAAGAAATTTCACACTAGCCTCTTTACTGCTGTTAAGATTAACACAAAGGAAATGCACACCCTAAATAAACAGCTAACAACGAAACTAGATTGATTGAATGTTAAAAAGGATTAGAAATGCACAACCCAAAAAAATGGCTTGCTTCTTTGTCCAAAATACAAATACATCGCAAGTTAAGTTTTTTGTTTCCCTGCTAGCCTAACTTCTCCAGTTTTCCTTACTAAGTTACAAATGCTCTGGAAAGTTCAAGTTTTCCGAACAACATTTCAGAGATAGGAGTGTAGCATATTCCTGGAAGGACAGTTTTATCAAGAAAAAAAAAATAAGTGTAAATAAGCAACATCTTTTTTAATGCTCGGGGGCTAGCTTGGAGAAAATTCAGAGAGGACTGTCAACGAAGGTGCAGACACCGAGTTGTTGGGACAATTTGTATTACCATCGCATCCTCAAAAAGCTCTAGCTGTTGACAGAAAAATACAAGATCATTAGGCAACCTTAACGTGTCTTTGAATAACTTCAATGATTTAAATTACCTGAATTTTCAATCTCTAGGTAGCAGACTTGTGCTTTCAGCTGAATCCTCGTCTTTTACATCATATCGCTGAAAAGAGAGTTTTGAAATTGAGGATTTTGATGCATAATGAAATGAACATAAATGACGTACAAATTATGCCAACAACGAGTTTGAAACCAATGGTTTTAAAATACCTGCTTCCCAACGGAGAATGGAACGTATCTGTACTTAATCATATGTAGTATCTGTCGCTTCATGGTAAGTGTGAACAGCATCACAAAGTAGAAAAGGAGTATTGGCCAAAACACAGGCACATCAAATATGCTGAAGAATGTCATCACAAAGGCAATGCAAAAGGCTCTTGTGATCGAATACCTTCAGGAATAAACAAATGAATAAAGAACTCAGTCCATGTAACAACCTAAAAAGATGAAATTCTCCAACAATTAAAGTGGTCTGAAGGTTATAGGTGGCCCAAAATATCTCATTGCATGATATTTGATACAACAGTTCATCAAAAGATATGGTACTCCTAATCAGCAGAGTGACACAAGCAATTTATATCCAGAAATAGAGGGGATCCGAGATATCTAACATTCTCGAACAAGTAATTTCTTATACCTGCCTAGCAGCACCAAAAAGAAGGGGGGTTAATGGTATTCAAAAAAATGCATGTAAAATGGAAGAAACACTCAGAAATGCTATTGAGTCATGATAAGTGCTTTAGAAAGTGTAGGTCATTAACTCGAATCTCATGACGCGCTCGATCCCTTGGGACCACCCTAGAGTTGTGCCCGGTAATTATTCCCATTGTTCCTCCACATGCTATACAACGTGATAATCAATCAGTCATTTCTTTGGCTTCAAATCTTATTTTTCATGTGCAAACATAGCACACAAAAGTGGATTATCACTTCATTTGAGAGAAGGTTATTAGCAAACGGATCGTAATTCATCATGTTGCTGAAATTCTTACAAAAGCTTTGCCTATTGCTTGTTTTTAGCTTCTTAAAGCCAAACTCATGGGTGGTTATGGTTGCAGACCCACCCACCCATGATGTAAGTGAGACAGGAATCACTAAAGTAGTTAAGGCTGTATATACAAGGCAATTCTGATGTCCTCTCTGTCTCTCCCTCTCATTTTCTTTTCTCTGTTTTCTGAGTTTTCCTTTGTGCTTGCTTGATTATGAAATTCAAAAGGTATGCATGTGTGTACGTATGTGTGTATGGAACAGGGGATTGCAAGCTCCATGAAAAATCAATTAACCAACAAAATCATTTCTTTGAGCTACAACTCTGCAAAAAGAAACTAAAATATAGCAAAATTCAAAGTGCAGAAGCATAAATTAGTGAATCAATTTGGCTACAAACACTGAAGGTAAGTAGTTCCTAGGAAAAAAAAATATTGGTAAACCAAAATTTCCTCATGATTAACTACTCCCGTGTTTCAAGAATGTATTTTTTAGTGATATTATGTTTGAAATACATGCTAATCATTATATGCTTCTTGATATTATAGCCTCGGAGGAGTAGACTAGTTTGAGCAGCCTCGGAGGAGCACAGATGTTTTCAAGGCTTCAAGGAATAGCATTGATCGGAGAAAGAAACTGAGGCACAACACCAATAGGCCAAAAAAAATGAAGATACTACCTCCAAAGGAGATGAAGTTGACACCTGAGATCACTTTTGGGGGTGCTTGTATTTGTATGGGGTCTCATGTACTTGTATTTGTATAGTATTAGTTTTTATAATGAAGCCTATCCAGTCAAGAAATGGTTTTCAATTGACTTGAAATTTTATTTTATTTTGTTTTAATTTGAAAGCTCAAGAAATTTTATATAGGTCGATACTTGCTATCATTTACTTTATTGGTTAGACCAAATACTTGATAACATTTGTAGCCCGATGGTAGACAAGTATAGTAATATGGTTGTGTTTTGATTCATGTGTGTTTCTTACAACATTGTGATTGAATCTGTTTTCAATAGCCATTTCATATGGAGAAATAGTTTCTTTTTCTTTTTCTTTCTTCATTGAAAATTGAACTTCTTACTCAAATTCAAATTTAAATTTATAATCCAAACACAACCAAAATCAATTCCTAGGAAGATGAAAATGTAGTAATAGTTCACTTCACAAGCAGAGAGTTCTACTACTCATTCCCTTCTTCCCTTCCTCCCTCCATCTCTTTATATGAAAGTTGAATGTAAATTTAACATAGCAGACTATGCAGACATTCACACCCGATCAATTGAAGAAACTGGAAACATTAAACTCACAAATCAATTAAGTTATATCTTCATGAATAGCCAAACAAAATCATAATAGATTGATGTTCAATCCCAATGCATGAAACACAGCACTGAACTTGTTTCTACATTAAGCATTCAGCCATTTGTACATTTTGTTTTATTTTGTTTCCTCTATATTTCCAGCCCTTTGCCCACTACAATCCACAAGCAATACACTTGATTTGTAAATAAAACAATGTAGATTTTTTTAAGAGAATAAAAATTACAAAAGGGAAAGAAAATAAAAAGATCACCCAAATAAAAATTTCATTGGAGGAAAGGACCAATTGTCCAGAAGGCAACATATCAATTACCATACACAACAAAAAAACAGACTAAACAACACCACCTAAACATTAATTCTAACAAACCAAAAACTAATTAGCTCGGTTGAATTCTCATCCATCAATCAGTAGCCAATCTAATAGTTTAAAGCATCAAACATCATCAAACATCATCTTCTTCTTGCAACTGGTCACAAGTTGATAGCATCTGCCCAAACCCCCCACCTAAATTGTTGACTTGTCTTCAAACCTCAAGTTCTATCACAAGTGTTTAGATTAATAACCTGACAAATAAAAAATACAAATGAAGTTAACAAGGATCAATTTAAGAATAATAGTTAGTTTATTGAAAACCAATTAAGTTAGAAAGAAAATTTTAGTTTGCAACAAAAATTCTTCAAGATCATTGTCTATCAAGATTATCTCTCAAGACATTTATCAAACAATTGGTTTGCAACACAAAATGTAATACAAATCACAAGAAATGCTTCCAAAATGCAAAATAGAAATTTCAGTAAAAAAAAAACAATGGGTCTATAAATGCACTTACATACCCCCCTCTAGAAGAACCGCCATTAGAGAGAGAGAGAGAGAGAGAGAGAGAGAGAGAGAGAAGGAAAAGCACAAGCAAAGCAAGTGAGGTTTGAACAAAGGCAGAGAAGAGAACCCACGTCTCCATATCTTTCTCTCAATCTCAAACTTTCAAAATGAGTACCATGAAATTTTGCCATGAATGGTCAGTCCTTCAATCCTCTATTTTTCCACATTCGCACTCACAGATTTGTATGTATATGTATATATATATGTTCATTCACTTGTACATAACAGCAAGAAATGACAATGATGATGAAATGGACCTCGTCATGGTCGTAATCTCACCTTGTCGTCGTCGCGTTCCTCCGTCTCTCTCAGTTCGTCTCTCCACCGCGTTCTCTCTCTTTGTCTCACGTCTCTCAGTTCGTTTCTGTGTTAGGGCTAAACACCGATGAAAGAGATAAAACTGAAAAAAGGAGGGGAAACTCAAAATTTGAAGGGAAAAAAAAGTAAAACGACGTCGTTGTGGATGGGCCGCTGAAACGGCCCTAGGAAAGTGCGGCCGATGATCTGAACTCCATACATGCATCCCTCCAAGCCAAACTCAGCCAGTGAGGGAAAAGAAAAACCCATCAAGACCCTTCCAACTATACAAAGATTTGCCAAATCAGCTCAACTCCAAACACCTAGTCAATCTCCCATGTCCTCAACCATGCTCACCAGTGTAGAGCTGAACTCCAAATATGAGACCTTAGCCTAAGATGTGCATGAGATAAAGACAACATTGACCCAAATGCAAACAATTTGGAATTGTTTATCTTTGTTTTAGGAGATTATTTTGAACTTCCACATAATGCTTGTGAGGATCATGTGGAACTTGTTGATCAAGTTGTTCCAATGCCGAAAGAAAGTGTCCAAGAAGTTGTTTTCACACAGGCAATAATCACTACAACAAAATGCACCTTTGGCGACCAAAATTGGCGACTAAAAAAAATGTTGGTCTCCAATTTTTGGCGACTAAATTTTTTTTAGTAGCCAAAAGTAAAATATTTAACTACTAATTTTTTTTAGTCGGGGTATATTCATTATTGGCGACTAAAAAAAAATTTAGTCGCTAAAAATGCCAGAATTGGTGACAAAAAAAAAAACTTAGTCGCTGTATAAAATATTTAGTCGCCAAATGGGAAATAAAAAAATTATTTTTTCTCTATGGCGACTAAAGTTTTAGCCGCCAAAATCTTACTTTCAACGAAAAAAAAAAAAAATAGTCGCCGTATATTGACTTTTTGCTACTAAAATATTTAGTCGCCGAATGGAAAATAAAAAAATTATTTTTCCTCTTTGGCGACTAAAGTTTTAATCGCCAAAAACTTACTTTCAGCGACAAAAAATTATTGTAGTCGCCAAATAATTTTTTTTTTTAATCTTTGGTAACCTATCTTCAGCGATTAAAATTTAGTTGCGGATGTGTTCAAAATTTTTATGGGAAATATTTCATATTGGCGCCTAAATTTTTGCCCAAATCTATTACTTCTTCACACGATTCTTTCTCTCTTGTTGTCCCTCTATCTCTCTCTGTCACACAGAGAATTTGTAGGGTTTGTTTGAGTAATGGAGATCATCGATACTCAAAGCCTTTCGAACTTGGATCTCAATTCCAAACCACCATTCTCTTACAACTCCATCAAGATTTGCTCCCACGCTGCTTCCCAACAACCATCTCCGGCGATCATCCTAAGCAGAGGTTTCGACTCTCCGGCGGCGGCAGTCGGCCTACTTGCGAGTAGCAAACCATTTTCAAAACAAACATGCAATGTTTTGTTCCAATTTAGGCGATTTGGTCTATACTTGTTTGTTGTGCATATAACATAGTAATTCTAGGCTAATGAATGGAATAAGAACACATAATGTTTTCAAAACTAGATAGCATGGTTAGTAGAGGCCGATCTTCGGATCGGGCGAGAGGGGGTGCTCATAGCTGACCTTCCCTAATCGTACCCAAGCTCCCGAACCGAGGCAACTTTGGTGATGACGGACACGTGGCCTTTGGCACCGAGTCAGGGTTTCCTAAATTCCCCCATAAAAAATATTTAGGTGGCGACTCTGTATCTGGCAAAGCAGTCCATGTTTGGCACTTCTTTTCAAAACTTTGTTTCTCAAAACGATTTTCCAGAGTTGGACTCTTTGGTTCAGATTAAGGAACGTGACACAAATTGAGTCTGAACTGTAGTGAGGCCCGCGGGCGCATCTACAACTATTCACTATTCATCAAAAAGTCAACATTACTATTCATCATGATTCATGATTCATCCCACCGACAAATTCAGCACAGTAAAAGGCAGCCATCAACTTTAGTCACTCACCGAAAGCAGCAGACAGCTCCCGTGTGCTCCTGATGCTCCTTTCAAGTCAAGATTATTCACTCACAAGGCTAATAGTATTCACTCACAAGGCTAGCAAAAGTCTCTTTTGATTATAAAAGGGCCTCTTCAGTCAAGAATAAGGCAGAGTTAGAAAAAAATTGAGAGCATTCCATCATCAAGAAAATAGCTTTCTCTGTAATTTTATATTTTCAAAAATTGTTTTCAAATTATGTATTTTGAAGAACTGCTTGCTTCATTCTAGTAAACAATAGTAAGTTTTATTAATGTTTATTTAAATTGTTTTACTGTTTTCTGCTTATCATTGTTTATTTATCTATGTTAGTGCTATTATTTCCTCTCCTCTTTCCTTTCCTACTTCCGTTCCCTAATGGTATCAGAGCCAAGTTATGTTGCCATCTGTTGCTTACTGTTTGGTTAATTTTGTTTAATCTACCTCTATTCTACTTAGTATCTGCCTTTAGTCATCTTAATCTGTCAAAATTCTATTTGTGTCTTTCCGCTGTGTAACTAGCCACCCAACCTTCGTCCCAGTCCTAGGTAAGGACTTTGGTTAGGTAGTGTTGGATTTTAGGGGTCCTCCGTAATGGGTATTTGTGAACACATAGTATGTGAAAACATGATAAATTTAGACAATGTATTAAGATTCCTGTAAGCCATTTACCTAGCTAGAACCATGAGTCGATTATTTAGAAGTAACTCTTCAGTTAGTTCTCGATCAACAACTTTGCCCTCCATACCTAATCAAGGATTGGTAATTAATGAAGAAGAAGTCAATTCTAGGTCAACAACTTTGCCTTCAATACCTAATCAAAGATTAGTAATAAATGAAGAAGATGTTGAAGTACAAAATGATAAATTTGATGCAGGATGGAATATACCTAAATT